GAAAGAGTGATTCGAAGCCATGGGGATTCGGCAGCAGTCACAGGGTCTAAACAGGGGTCTCTGTTCTTAGAAGAGGGAAGAGATTGCCTGGAGACCCAAAGCAGATACAAAAACTTCAGAGTGTTTTCGCACGGAAGCAGACTGAGGCTTTGTGAGTGTCCCGCAAGAGGTATAATCTAAGCTGCAATATCTCAGTCTTTGAACTCTTACTGGTAGTAAGATGAGAGAGACTGGAAGAACAACAAAATATGCACATAGTAAGATAACAAACAGTACTGTAGGTGGCTCCAAGCAATGTCTGGCATACACATGTACACACGTGTGTACACATACACACATACAAACTGGAAATCATACTATGTGCGTCTTATTGTAATTTGCACCGACCCTAAAAATAACAGTTCCCAAGAACAGGCAGGCTGTTAGCTCAGGCTTAGTGCCGTACTACCATAGCCGCATCGCTTCTGATTGCTGTGCAGCATGGGAAGAGGAAGCTCATAGTCACTTGCAGCATGGTCAAAGTAACTCCTATCTGTTGGAAAATCCCCACGTGCACCCGGTGCTTGCAGGAGTAAGGTCAGATTGCCAGCATTTGTCACTGCCTTTGCATGTTTTTTCATGCGGGATGATGTGATAGCGCTGGCCTGGGTGTTTGAATAGCTTTCTGGGATGAAATCAAAGCACAAGCTCCTCTCAGGTAATTTAAAAGGGGTGAAATGCTCAAAAGGATAATATGGAGCAAACTGGTGTAAACGCTTCTTCTGCATAAATTGCAATTTTTGTAATTCATTTTGGGAGTGAGGGGAGTGTACTTTCCTGTTTGGTTTTGGTTTGCATACATTCAGAAAGTGTACCAAATTATTTTTTTTTTCTGAAAATATAACTTAACTGTTGAGAGGGAGGTGAAGCTTTTGTGATGAAGGGAAAATACTCTGGTAGGAAAATTAGGAATTATTGTGATGTCCGTGTTCCAGGCTTACTAAGCCTGAAAATAGATGAACTGGGGAGATTACTTTGTATGATTTCTACATACGTAAATGGACATATAATTATCTATCAGTATAAAATATTAGTGCATATTTACTGTATAATAATTAATTCAACTTTATAAGCAGATGATTACCTCAAATTTACATACAATGTGAAGAAAAGTCCCTTTATCCTCTGTAACTGCGGCATTTGGCAGATTCAGGAATAAATAATCTTTTGTGGCAAGGGTATGCCTTATCAAACATATGCAGATCAGTGCTAATTAATGCTAATTAAGGTTTCCTGTCTATCTAGTTGGAAAAACGTCCAAATGTTATGAAATCCAGTTAGTATGCCTATTACCCTAATTGTTTTATATGGGATGGTTCTTAATTAAAATATGTAAATTGACCCTAATTGCTATATACTAATGGAGGTTCATGTTATCTCACTAAAAATGACAAGATGGTGAGGAGGGGTACTTAAACAAATAATTCTGATACATTTGTAAATAAATGACCTTTACTCAAAATTATTTTTAATTGGAAATTGGCAAAAGGAACATTTTGCCATCTATGTTTCTCTTTAGTTTTAAATAATGTCAGAATTTACAGTTCTTTGTTAATATAGATACGGTGACATTGCACCTTAATTAAGACTACTAAACAAGACAACATTTTGTGTGTTTACTGTATGTTTCAAAATTGTTTGTTAACCTCATGTTGACCTTCAGGAATGTCGTGCTTTACGATACTGATCCTAATTTTCACTATTTTTGGTTTTACTTTTTGATTTTGGTCTCTCTTAGTCATATCATTTAATTTGTGAAGTTTGGTACGCTGGTATACTTTTGATGCTTTTGCTGGTGACTGGAGCCTGACTTTTCATCGGAGAGGCTGGTGGGCAGCACCTCTCTGCACTTTACCCATTAGTATAGGACATCGTCTTTGGGGAGGATAGTTCACATGTTACATGACTGTTACATGACTGCAGCCTACACAGGTTTTTACACCAAGTCTTGTATGGCCTCTATCCAACACAAAAGCGTTATTTAAATGATGTCTTGTGTGGCAGTTTATCGGTGCCCCATATTGGCATTTTCTTGATAGTTGACATACCATTTCAAACATTCAGCAAACATTTTTCTCCTCTGATGTAGCGAATCTAATTAAGAATTCGCTGATTTCGAGAACTGCCCTATAATTGTAGTTTTTACTCATAGTAAGAGTACATGTATGTGATATATGTACATGATATATGTATGCTTCACTTTGCAAAACCAATCTGAGTGGTTTCACTGTTTTGCAGGATATTGTGACCAATGTTTCTCCGAGGATTGTGCGTGGAATTACTTCAGGTCCTATGTATGGCCCAGGCCAAGGCTCTTTTCTAAACATTGAACTGATCAGTGAGAAAACAGCAGCATATTGGTGTAAAAGTATTGCTGAACTGAAGGCTGACTTTCCAAACCATGTAAGTACCACTCAGTCATGAAGATGCAACATACTTATTTAGAATCTCCAGTTTATAGATCTGTGAAAACTCACCTATTTAATATTAAATAGAATGCCAATTGCTTTATTGACATACGAGTATGTCATTACAAAACAGAAAAGCCCATCCAAATAATCTTTATGACAGAAAATTCTGTGAAATGACTACACAAACAGACAACTGTTGTGATTTTTTAGTTAGACTGATGTTTACATTCAAATAGATAGTATCAAGGGGAAGAGTTGATCCCAGTGTGGATGCTTGTCAGTTCTGCTGCGAATAATTTTGTATTTAAGGTCATATTTAAAGATGTAACTTATCATAATAATTTTCATTGTGAATTGAATTTGATTATAAAAATAATCTTTGTCCTTTTCATTTTTAATCTAAGTGTGAAAGATACTTCTAATATTTTTATAAGCAATTGGCTCCTTTAAGAGAAAAAAAACCAACACTGACTTAAGTTAACTGCAAGGATAGAGTTTTGTTAAAGCCTTCTTGGCTATGGGGAATATCTGGCTAGAAAGTAATAATCAAAGTTGGGAGCAATGATGCCAGCTAGCTAGCATAAATGATTTTCAGCTACTCTTCTAGTGAATAAGAACAACGAGGTGGAAAGTAAAATTCACCTCAATCATTATCTCGAATGGATAGAGCTAGAAATCCCAGAGCCTACGTATCTTCTGTCTTGAAGTTATTACCTCCATGGTTCAGCTATGAACAAAATAAGTGAATGCCGCTGAATATATTATTGCATGAAGACAATCGATTATTTGGCTTGTTTTCTTATTCCTGGAGTTTAAATGTGCACATTGGCAAGTAAAAAAATGTTCAAACCAATAGTATTGATAGTAAAAGTTAAGTACTGCGTGTTTAATAACCTACTTCACTATGGATGGACTGTGTGTTTCTTTGCTGAGGTTCATATCGCTTCATTTACTGTGACTGGGCTTCATAATAGTGAAAGTGTGAACTGAAAGATAATACTGTAATTCTCTGATTCTGATCTTAACATCCTTTGACAAAGTCCTGCATATTGCATGCAGGCAGACTGTTGTCCACTTCTGCTGCGGGAATGGTTTCCCATTGCAGTCTTCACCTAAAATCTTTCGCAGCGTTTTGTGCTTGAGACAAAACCATCCTCTTCTGTGAGGAAAAGTACTAGCAACAATTTCAAAAGGAAAATTTGAATTTTCTGAGACCTAGCCTCTTGTGTGGGATGAAGTCTCACTCTTCCATAGTACCCAGGGTGAGCATCTTCTGATCGTCCCTCACTATGTGAGCTATTACTTTGAGAATGTGAATTCAGCTCCCACATGTTGACTGTGGCTGCTGCTGTGGCATCTCTGAGGTTGGTAACGCCTGCGTGGGCATGGGGGAAGCAGCAACCAGCAGTAGACCTTGGCTTTGCTTGCAAGGATTTTTAAAATGTGCCTGTGAACTCATCTAAGAACTGTCATAATTATAATGGTAAATTTGTTGCTAACTGAAAATGGATTTTTTGTTTACTGAGTAGAAATCTCCTGGTGCTTATTTTGAAATATTCTGTATAATTAGAGCTTGCAGAATTTTTTTTCCCCCCAAATCTTGTTGCCTCCTCCAGAAAGCCTTTTTAAACTTGATGGTTTTGGGTTTTTTTTTATTAAAACCAAAACCAATTTCTGAGAACTCTTTGGTGAACTTAATTAACAAGCAAAGAATGACATTTTCTGCTCAAATGAAAGCCAAACAGAGATGAGGACCAAGTGATTACAGTAAAAAAACTTACCTTGCTATGGTAAATATTAAAAAAAATCAAAATGGATGCATAATTACTTTTGCTATGTAATACAAGTAATTTAAAGCAAGATTTATCTTACAGATGAAAAGGATATGAGCAAAACAGCTGCTTCACCAGAAGGTGATCCTACAACAGCATCCTATCTCATGCCGTTAGGAAGAAGCAAACCATAATGCAAAAAGAGCAGCTAAATTCCCCCAACAAAGCCTAGGATTTAAACTAAATTTTGCAAGGGGTTGTGCAAAAGAGGACCACCAGGCACAGCTGAGTGGATAATGTCATATAGTTGTGACATGTTGCCTTTATAGATCAGGAACTAGCATCTCCCTTTGACTGTCTTCACCCCTGTAGTGGGTGGCCTCATTCTTTGGCCCTTCTGACTCCTGATTCTTGCTTGTAGCTTGCAATTATCTCTGTCTGGCAGTCTCTCAGTCTTCTCTTCTATTATCTTCTCCTTTCAACCCTGAATCCACTTCAAGTGGACTAGGGGTGGACTAGGGCAAAAGCTGCCACCAGCAGAAACTTGCTTCAGTGCCACCAGCAGTGAATGAAATATTTGTAAGCGTCCAAGCAGAGGAGAACAGAGAAATAGAAAGTATCTTGTATGTTTGCTTGTGAAGTGTCATCAGAAGTTTTGTTGTTTCAATTTCGGATTTTTTTTCTTGAGTTAATTTAATATCACTATTACTGTTTTTTCAGAAAACACACACACAGAAAAAGAAATTAGGTGGTATGCACAGTACAGGCCCAAGATGATTTTTTTTTTTTTTAAAGTCAGGTGCTTTTCTGTTAAAATGGTTTGCAGTTAGAAATGGAATTGTTTTTCCTCTGGTACTTCAGTCATCTCAGTAAGGTATTACTTCAGCAACTTGGCTGAAACCGTTTAAAATATATGGCATTATTCAGCATTGTTTATTGTTAAGTTTTCAAAGGACGCAGTTTTAAAAACGCTGTGTCCACTGCTTTCCTGTATACCAAGAAAACAGCCTTTCAATCAGCTGTGAAAGCGAGAAGAAAATTGATCTGTTTATAGTTGTCATCTTCTTTTTACTTTCCCAGATATTATAGTTTTACTTATTTATATTGGCCTCTCTTTGTGATATCCAAACATCTTCCTTACATGGTTAACTAAGAGTTTTTTTATGAGAATCTGTTAAGTATTTATATTTTCATGTCTTATAGCCACACATAGCATCTGATACTACAGGATTTATCATCCTATGTAATATTAATCAGGAGAAGATGGATTTTTTGTTCTTTAGTAGTATAGACTAAGAACTTGACAGTGAGAAAAGATGGAACAATTATGATATTTATTTCATAGTCTAAAATGTAGTATTAAAATATCCCTTCTGAATTAGTATAAAGCTGACACTTTATTGCCAAATTTGGCATCCCCACTCTCCCAAAAAAAGGTTGTTTGTAAAGTGCTGTATTAATCTGAGGCTCAAGAAAAAAGTGAAAGAAAAATATCAATAATCAAAATTTTAAGATTGAAATTTAATTACTACTTGTTTGAGATGAATGACTACTGAAGCCATAATCATGGTCTGGTCATCGGTTCTCTTTACTCTCTGCTGTAGAGGGACATTTTGGGCCAAGACCAATAAAAAGCTGTTCCCATGGGGTACAAAAGTTATCTCAACATCATAATGAGAAATAGGAAAAGTCTCCCTTTCAAAAGCCTGCTTACACTGGTTTGAAATGGCAGAGAGGAGATTTGGATGTGGGGAGTGAACAACTGGCTGGGTGGGGGCTTAGCTGCTGACCGGGGTGAACCCACCCCAGATGGAAAATGCATGAAGTTCATGTTAAAAAGATTAGATCATATTTTGGACATGTAATATTTGTAGTGCTTTAGATAGTGGGGTAAAAGAACTAACACTAATCATAGAATGGTTTAGGTTGGAAGGAACCTTGAAGATCATCTAGTTCTAACACCTGTATGGGCAGGGACACATTCCACTAGACCAGGTTGCTCAAAACCGCATCCAGCCTGGCCTTGAACACTTCCAGGGATGGGGCACCCACAACTTCCCTGGACAACCTGTTCCAGTGTCTCACCGCCCTCATACTGAAAAATTTCTTCCTAACATCTAATCTAAATCTCCCCTCTTCCAGTTTGAAGCCATTACCCCTTGTCCTATCAATACATGTCCTTGTAAAAAGTCCTTCTCCAGCTTTCTTGTAGGCCCCCTTCAGATATTGGAAAGCTGCTGTAAGGTCTCCCTGGAGTCTTCTCTTCTCCAGGCTGAACAATCCCGACTATCTCAGCCTGTCATACTTTCATAGTTTATTTACCAAGGAGATACCTGATTACATGGTGTATTGGTGTACTTTCTATCCAAAATGTCGTGGAAAATATGGCATTTTATGGTATCTTCAAGAAAGTTGTTTACTTAAGAAATATTAATTTTGCTAAGTAGAACTCACTTAATGATATCACCCCTAAGTCTATGGGGTCAGATGGGATCCACTCAAGGGTACTGAGGCAGCTGGTGGAAGTGCTCACCAAGTAACTTTCCATCATTTATCAGCAGTCCTGGCTAACCGGGGAGGTCCCAGTTGACTGGAAGATAGCAAATGTGACACCCATCTACAGCAAGGGCTGGAAGGAGGATCTGGCAAACTACAGTCCTGTCAGTCTGAGCTTGGTGCCAGAGAAGGCTATGGAGCAGATCATGCTGAGTGCCAGCACGTGGCACGTCCTGGACAACCAGGTGATCAGGCCCAGTCAGCATGGGTTTATGAAAGGCAGGCCTTGCTTGACTAACCTGATCTCCTGTGACAAGGTGACCGGCTTAGTGGGTAAGGGAAAGACTGTGGATGTTGTCTGCCTAGACTTTAGTAAAGCCTGTGACAATGTTTTCCACAGCATTTTCCTGGAGAAACTGGCTGCTCATGGCTTTGAGAGGCGTCCTCTTCACTGAGTAAAAAACTGGCTGGATGACCAGACCCAAACAGTTGTGGTGAATAGAGTTAAAACCAGTTGGTGGCCAGTCACAAGTGGTGTTCCTTAGGGCTCAGAATTGGGGCTATTTCTATTTGATAAGTTCTATTTAGTAAGTTTGCAGACAAAATCAAGTTAGGCAGGAGTGTTGATCTGTGTGAGGGTAGGAAGGCTCTACAGAGGGATCTGGACAGGCTGGACCGATGGGCTGAGGCCAGTGGTATGAGATTTAACAAAGCCAAGTGCCAG